GGATTTTTGCTTGAAAAGATCAGATTTAATCACCTGCAAATGTTTACCATTAAACCAATTCAAACACCTTTACAGAGTTGGAGGGGTAGAGGGAGGTGACATTTCTTACTGATGTTTACTGTGTGTCCTTCCCAGACAGTTAAAATGAGACTTTCAGTGGATAAATCAAAACTGGCCATTTATGAGTAATGGCCATTCATGAGTACTTCGCCATTATCAGTGGAAGTTCCGTCCTAAGGTGGATGGAAAGGTTGCTGTCAGGCATCACACAAATTCTCCAAAAGCTACAGTGTCAGTATATTGAAAGGAAAAAGTGCTTCAACATTTTGATTCTAAAGTGCTGGGAAGGGACAGAGGCAGCAGTTCATTAATAAATATGTTCCTTGTGTGTGGTATTTGTTTAAGTGGCTTAAAATGCTTTTAATGCCTATTAGCCTTGTCTGTTAGCCAGTACAGCAGATACGGTTCTTTTCTGCATCACCAATAAGTCTGTTTGGTAGGTCCCAGTGAACTGCATCAGTGAAACTCAACTGAAGACAGCAGTGTTTTGCGTCTGTTACCGAGAATGTCATTTGGCTTATCGTTATTTGTGATTACATCTCAAAAGGAAGGAGCTTAGCTCTGAAGTCAAGGATGACTTTGAAGAGTGGGTAGGGTGGGTTCTTAGGAAAACACAGTTTCACTGCATTTGGGGTCACTGAAATGAATGAGTATTAGCACAGAAAGGTGCTTTGCAGTTCCACTGTATCCTCTACAGAAATCATGATTGACTTTACTGGTGAAAACAGTTTTTGAAAGACTGGGGAGATGTCTTTCCCTTTATCTGCAAAGTACAGAGGGATTGCCACAAATATTGTGGAAATCCCAAGAAATTCTCTGTAACCTGCAGCACGTCTCTCGGTTTGCTTTACACTTTACTGATGAAATACACACAAGACTTGCATTTAGAGAAGTGTGGCATGGCTACCAGATCTTCTTCCCATTGTCCATATCAGAGCAAATAAACAAATGTTGTATGTCTTTTAAGATAAAAGTGACTGATTTTTATTATTTTTGTGAGACAGCTACCTGTGTTTTAAATCAGTGCTTTATGGCACATCTTTACAGTCTGAAAAGTATTGCTCCTCCCCCCGCCATCTTTTCTCTCCTTAAGAAACAAATGAATTTCTTAAGTGGTATCTGGAATAGCTGTTTCTGATGACTTTGTAGTTTGAACCTACATCTTTGTAGGAACTCCTAATCCCTGGGTTTGTTTTATTCTTTCTTTATTGGAAATAATAATTAAATCAGTGTGTTTTTTTTTTCAAAGATAAATTTAAAAAAATGCTGGACTATTGCACATTGAAAATAAAAACTGTTTTTAATTTACAAACTCCCATCATGTTCATTCCTACCTCCTTGTATGAAGATAGGAATCAGGTGCAGCTCATCCTTGGGATCAGTTGACCAAACAAACGGGCACAGCACCACAAAATAGTTATTCAGTGCATTTGAACTCTTGGTTGATCCATTACACTGTTAACCAAGAAGTTTTAATGAGGGAGGAGGTCTTCTACTTGTTTTGTCTTTTAAAATGATCCTGAACAAAAGAAAGTAGTGCTAAAGAGCCTTCTACTTTCTGTTTTTCAGTATGTGGAATGTGAATGTGGACTAAGGAAAAACCTTCTCTTTTGGTCTGGAGTTGTATATGAGGAATGAGCATCTGTGAAAGTAGTTTTGATGAGTAGCAAACCTAATAGCTTTCTTTGTTACCTCCACTAAATCTCCATCCGACGCATATACAGAAGATGTGCAGGACCCTTCAAAAATATATATTAATGATATAATAGACGGTTAAATTCGTATGAGAAAGCACAGAAGAGACGCTAGAAGGGGAAAGGAAACACAACGTTAATGGAAGAGAAAAACTGTTTTTCCAGCGTCTGTACTACAGAAGAAAGACAGGTCTTACCAGTTGCATGTGAAAATGGAGTGGGATGGAGAAAAGCAGAAAAGAGAAAGGAGTCACAGTCAGACGCATTTACGTATTGTCCTATGATTTATTACGAGCACTCCAGAAGCTGAGTGGCACTGAGAGACTTCTGGATAGGTCCATTAAAAAGGCTGAAAATACTAATCTGGAGAGGGCTGCACATTCTTCTAATTAAAACCCTCACAGAGGACTTATAGAACTTCAAGTTTTTAATTATTCTTTTGAATGTGTTTCGTTACTGTTTGGCTGCGGGGTTTTATTACACCTTCAAATATTTTTAAAAAATCAGCTACTTACTTGGGAGGTTTCTCCTCTTTTCTTGCTCCTTCTGAACAGTAGAGAGACAATGTCAGTGAGGTAATTGCGCTAGACTGAATGGATTGCCCTCGGGTGCTGGAAAAGGTCTAAGTCTATTGCAAAGCAAGATGATTGTGATGAATAGGAAACAGAGGGCCTGTCAGAGAAGTAAGTAAGTTAGTGAGTCAATGGAAATGTCTTAGATAAATGAATGGATATTGATATTAAATTAGTTGGTGGGAAACATCATTATAATCTGGGGCAAGGATAAACACTTAATAGAATATGGGATAACTGTTTTATTTAAGTAAAACTATGATTATCCAGTCAAGGGATCAGCTCCTAAGATGACTGTCATTTTTGGTTTATGCAGTAGCTGTGTGTGTATATACATATATATGTGTTTATGTGTATATATATATATACACACACACATATATACATATATACACAGAAACACAGACAGACTTGTGAGTATGCAGTGGTTCATTTTAGTCATTTGTATTTCAGGCAGTGATATTCCATGAGATATTGCAAAGTGGTCTGTAGCAGATGTCCATAAGTTAGTGCTGGCTGTCACACTCTTAGCTTACAGTTGTCCCCTTTCTGTTACAGTCTCTGCTGTGTTTGGGAGAAAGCATTTTGTGAATTGCTATATGGAGTGTTCATTGTTTATGTCGATCCTAGCACAAATCCATTCTGATTGCTAATGCTGTTTCTTGCTCTGGTGTCAGTTTCCCATAAATATCTGTTACTGTTCTCCTTGTGTGTATTTTCATCACGGTTTCTGGTGTTGGTCTTCTATTATAGACTTCCTGCTGCACAGGAAAATTTGATACAGTATTATTTACTGTAGCTTTATTTTCCTTCTGTTAACTGGTTACATTTTCATCTTTCATGTGCTGTCATAAAGTTAGTGAGTTGGGCAAATTATCGCGAGTGATCCCTTTTAATAATGCCTATTTATTTTTACCGTTGCTAGATTAAATGGTTCCGTAACTATATTTGTTCAGAGGCTGCTTCAGGATGCTAATTAAATTGATAACAGGTGGGAATTTCCATGGGATTTTTCCAAATGTTAGTGTTAATTGTTTTTGCATGAAAGTAGAAAGTGTTGCCTATAGAAAAACCAATGCTGATCCAAATCTGTGGAGAGTATAAAATACTTTGTGTTTTATATGATTGCCAGTTTCTACACAGAATTCAACGGAGAACTCAGATTTTCTTTTCTGAATGATTTGGGGGGACTGCAATGCAGCAGAACATTATATCACACAAAGCTCTATTGTGTGGTATGAATAGACAGTACGTATTGTCAAGAGATTTTGATCCATTTAGATGTACATGGAAAGTACTTCAAATAACTAAGTAGAACCAGCTAAGGAAGCAATAAAAATGAATAATAGTGCAATATAGTAAACACAAAATGGGCTAATTATAGTCTGAAATCAAATATTGAAGTTGGATTTCCAAATTTTTAGTGTGCAGCTGTTCATTCTGGCTCTAGAAGAGAACAGGAATTGTGTTCTGAAGCAGAAGGATGCTTGTTGTGTAGCGGGTTCAATCCTGTTGCCTCTGTGCGATCCCAACTGGAAAGGACATTGTCAAGATTCATATTCCAAGATGGATTCATCCAGATTTATTGGCATGTGTCTGTGGGGCTCATCAGCATTTTCTCTTTAGCTCTTCTCTTTCTTCTTCTCTTTGCCTTAGCTTTTGTACCTCCCAGTATTCTGTGAGTATATGTTATAGCTCATCTGTTTGAGTAATTGTCGGTGTAGTTACCCCTTTTTAATTTTTTACAGACTCTTAAGTGCATTACCAAATCTAAAGCATTTTGCAGTCTATTTTTACGGAATCTTACTGTTTCTTAAAATTTTCTTATGCAATATAGTAGCTTTGTTTTTTGTGGTTTTTAGGTACTAACCTGCACCTAAAATAGAGCTTGACACTTGCCATTCGGAAAAATACCAGTTATGTTGGAATCAGTTGCTGTTTTAGAAAGACGCTGTTAGGACAAGTGGGTATCACTTTCTCACCAGGCTATTGGAGTCTAATTAGTGCTTGAAGCAAACGCCAACAATTCTGAGATGCCTTCAGTCGGCAGTAGTCAATCTCAGCATATAGACATCTCTTTTTCTCAACAAAAATCAGTACAGTGATCTCATAGGTTATCTGTGTGAGACTAAAGTTCAGTCTTAATTCTTCCAGAAACTTCTTGCGTAATCTTGGTGAATTTCTTTGTTTCTCAGTTCCTCATCTCTCCATTAGGAAAATGATTTTAATAGTTTTCCCTAACAGTGCAATTGTAAGAAAGTTGGTCAGATTTGATCATGAGGTGTTCAGATGTCACGGGGAAAAAAAGTCCTGAGGCAAAAGCATCATGTCCCTATGAAGAGAGGAAATGTAACGGAGCCTAGGCTTTTGTGGGTCCTCCCTTCATCCTGTCGTGGTTATTTTCTGCATTAGCCTATTTGGGAGAAGCAATAGAGGTTTCCCTGCTTCCCTCATGGGCAGTAGCAGAATAGAAAATTGCAAGTTCTTATGCACCTCAGTGACATTAAGACGGAGATTAAAAAAAAATGCATTTCTGTATAATTTTGAAGCATTGTAAATCAGAGTGCCAGCCAACATTGACCCCAGCATATGCATGAATTTCTTCTAAGTTCCTTCTGTTTTTTGTCAAAACTGTATTTACAAGGGATCTAAATAGATTCTGTTTGCTTTGTAGGTGGTGGACTGTGCTTGGGATGAATTAGTCAAGATCTATACTCCGTCGTGTCTGGCAGTTGCTGTCTAGAGAAAAGATGAAGAAGCTCTGACACACCAGGAATCCTTCTCTCCAACCAGACTTGCACTAAACGTGTCAATTGTGTCACTAATCCTCATGTCTTTTTTTAAGTAAAAGTCCATTTTAACTGAAAGTGTTGTGCACTTGAGAATTTGGAGATTTTAGGAGTTGTTCTACTCTACAGGTAGTACTTGAGTCAGCAGAGCGTTCAACAGCTACTGCATGGTCGAAGAGTGGCAGTAGCAGATATTAGATGGTATCTTCAGAGTAGAATCATCGACACAATTTTGTGAGCAATCTGGCTGATGATGAGAGAAGGCGCCTGAATTTTCTTGATCTTTATAAAGAATAAAAGTAACTGGCAGTGTATTTTTAGATAACTGTCACTGTAAAAAGAAAATTAAAAAGTGGCTTTTCACTGTAAAGTACTGTAATGGCAACCTGAGGCTTGTATCACTCAGATTAATATTGATATGCTTTGCTGTGACTCACATTACATTATTTTCTTGTGCAATATGATGAATACTCTTGATAGACAGTAAATGTCATACTTTATAGCCAGTTGATTCCTTTGACCTTTTTGATTGCTGCATCACAAAGATGGTAAAGGCTTTTTTTATTTCAGTTGGATCTTCTTGAGTAAAATACTTGATGAAGTCATACAGAAAGATACTCTGAAGATGGAAAATATGCTTAGGGAAAAAATGAAATATCTGCAGAACTCATTGGATCAAAATCCTCAAGATTTAGAGAAAGGACTACCGTATATTTTCTTAGACTTGTCTTCTGTTTGCAATTAGGAGGTTTGTCCCAGAGGGTAAGAGAGGAACATGGCCATACATGCAGGGTTCATGGACCTCTGACAGCCTAGCCAAAAATAAGAGGTGATGTCCAAACCAGTTGAACCTACGTACATGCAGGTTAACTGCATAGCATAAGCACAGCAAGTCCATCGTGGCCAAGTTGTTATCAGATTTGCTGCAACCAACAACGTAGTATATGCCCAGCATGTTATAGGTGTGTTGGGTACTTTGCATGCCCACATTGAATCCTCAGCCTACATGCTGGTGTATTCATTTGAGTTTTTCTGGGGCAAGCAGAGGTGTTTGGTTTTTAAGCTGCTCTGATATCCTTTGAATATTCTTTCAGACTTAAGATTAAGTCTCCAACAGTGATACTCCCGTAATCCCATCTGTGTATTTTCTCTCTTGGTTTCCCACTAGCCCCAGTTTTTTACCTTCTTGAAGTTGCCTCGTTTCTCTTGCTAGCCCTTAAGCTCAGGCTCTTACCACCAAAAGACTTTTTGCAGGTGCCAGATCTTTGATGAGTCTTTTTATAGAGTCCTATTAATGAATGCTAGGGCTGTACACTTCTGGACTGCACCACTCATACATCAAGCAAAAGCAGACACTGCCAGATCTGCTGCTTGCTTTACAGAAATGAAAGAAAGAATTCGGTAGAGCTAGGACTTAAAATGTGCAAGGAAAGGTTAACTGTGCTATCTTGGAGAGAGAGCCTGGAAAGTAGTAAGTAGCCACAGAGACACACATATGTGTGTGTGTAAGTGTATATATATATATATATATGTATATTAGGTGTTAGGGTAAGAAAGAAAGAAGCCCTCTTCCGCAACATGAGAATTTGGGTCCTGAAAAGGTTCTTAGGTTTTTCTGGATCAGCACAGACTGACACAAGAATGCCATCCTCTTGAGCTGAGCTAAAAAAGGAAAAGTAGATTTTCGTCTTCATGAGTGTGGTGTACCAATTTCCAAATATTCACCTCGCTTTAATTCTGCGTGCTAAGTAACGATGAAACCAAAAAGGTATGCTGCATACAGCTTGCAGCAATATCGTGGGCCATAAAATCTAATTCAACTTTAATCTATTTTTCTGCTTTGTCTCTCCTTTCTGCAGAATTAGAATACAAGTTACTTGTTTGAGTGGACAGGTTTGGTGATGGGTATGTATTCTATACGTATGTGTGCGTGTGGGGGAAGGGGTATTTCCAGAATGCTGCTGTAGTGGATCAGCTGGAAAGAGGAATTTAAAGAAGCTAGCACGGGGATAAAAACAATCACAGTTCCTATCATGCACATTCAACACATGAGATTAAATCTTTCGTAGCTGCCGTCTCTCCTCCTCAGGCCCTGGTTAGCTTCCACGCTGAGGGTTGCCGATTCCAGATTTTACTTTCTTGAAAAAGGACTGTATCCAGAGAATGAGCATAGTAAATAAAAGTTGTGGCCTTTAATCCTACTGTGTGATTTTTACATGGAAAGTACAGTTGCTTGTACAGTTCCGCACTGTAACAGAAAAAATAATATGGCAATAATTGTTGCTGATTTTATTTCTCAGGGAATGTTTGGTATATATGATTGTTTTAAAGAAATACTTTGTATTTTATGACCACAGTAGTTGCTGATGATCTTTTTTCATTTACTGAAACAGGCCTTTAAATACAACAATTTTTGACATTTCGTGTGTTCTACTTTTAAACTCGTTCTTTTTGAAGGTTTTGTTGTGTGGGGGTTCACATGTTTCTCCATGGTTGAAGAAACTTGATCAGTCATGTTTTGAAGGAGTGGATTTGTTGTTCTAGTGTACTATTAAATTAATTGCCCACTGTATCTTTGGCTACGCTCTTGTATTCACTTCCCCAATTGAGAAATGTTGATCAGAAAAATAAATGCAGTAAAAGATATTCAGGGTGACCTTATAGGTAACAAGTGTGATAATCATGGTTTATATCTTTTGTGTGAATGCTGGGTGGCAGTTGTATTTTTCGTCTGAATTTTTAGAGATCAACCTTTAATGCAACTTTTGTCTAGCTGTATGTCTCATCAGGTCTGCATTTTGATAAAGCTATTTTCTGTATGTCTGCTTGTGGTGACTCCATGCCAGTGATGAAACGGCCTCTTTCTTCCATCTAAATAAAATGCTGGCCTCAAATTTTGCTGCATCCCCCTGTGCAATTCCTGCATGTTAAGGTGATGTGCTGGAAAATGAAGTGTCTTTAGTAAGTGATAAGGGGGTCTCTAGGACTTTGTGGCTATCAACAGGCATGGATTTGCTAACCCTTTCAGTAGTAGTACTCGTGTTTTGCATGCGCTCTGGATCATGTGATGGGGAATGGCTACACCTCTGCCCAATGCTTTCCTTATATTTGTCCTTAGGCCCTAATTAAAGCAAACTTTCCATTAAACATATTTTGGACGGATCTTTACCATTTTCATTCAAGAAGCCATTTTAAAAACATGCTCTGATGCTCTTACTAGGAATGTGAGACCAATTTGCTCCCCATGCGTTTTCTCTCACCCATGTCATTGTACCTAGGGGAAATGAAGAGCTGCGGATAATTTGAATCAAAGGATTTGAGTTAAGACATCGTGATCATCCCATTACTATAAGGAGTCACAGGGCAAGTCATTAGTATGATCTGTACACCAGTGCTAGGTCAAAATTTTGCAATGGAGTGAGCTTATTAACCAAACAGCCAATGCTCTCTCTGAATACATAGAAGAACAGCTAGTATGAGGGATGTATATCATCAGTGCAGTGTTATCTCAAAGGACCTACCCTATATTTTCCTCTGTTTTGTTAGTTGTCGCTTTTGCCTGCCAGCTCCTACCACATACTGTAGAGCTGGTCTTCCTGTGGTGTAAATCGCACTTGAGTTTGGCACAGAGGTTTTGCAGCACGCAGTCCCTGTGTTGCTTTGCCAGTTCGTCCCCAGTGAAGTGTGGGAGAACTTGTGTTTTCTGAGCATGGAGACGTGGGGAGGCAGAGGGAGACTTGTACTGGGGCTGGCCCGAAGCCATGTCAAGAAAAGTTATTCTTTTAAAGCGGGCAATTAACAGAAAAACCACCCCTGTAGTTGTGGTGGAAAATACTGTGCATAGACAAGTCTAGAATTAGGGTGCCTTAAAAAGATGTTATAATAGAAGTTGAACTTCCAGAGGTAGAATATGGTATCTGGGATATGGAAGCTCGAGTTCCCAAATCGTTACCCTTCTGATGTGTGTGTTTTTCTGTTTCGCTCAGGGAAGTATTTAGCTCCCCATCCTGATTTGCAGCCTGATGCTATGTGGTGTCAGAGGCACTGCTCACCGTTCAGTGGTGAGGGCACAAAATTCTTCCTTCCAAAGGAGAAATTTTCTTCTTGCTGCCTGGGTGTAATAAATCTTCATTGCTACAGTGTTTCCAGAAAGCACACAGATTTTTTTAAATGTGTAATTAGTTGGAAGAAGGAGATTTTTTTCACCCGTATGCAACCTTTGTCACAGCAATCCACCCACTGAGATCAATCCAAATGGAGACTAGTGGAAACTGCATAAAAGCATTGGCACAGTTCTGCAGTGGGTTTTAAAGCCAGGGATGGTCTCCAGTAAGTTTAAATGAAATGAAGATGTTCAACCTTTATATCCTTTTCTACTGCAGCCCACTTAACTACTGTGAGTTTTCATTTTACACTGCACTGCAGCTGCTGAAATCAATGAAGGCCTTTGAGTTGGAACGTCTGGTTGTAAAAGGGAATGACTGCAAGTTATTTTGTCTGAAAACGGCTGGGGTTTGCTGCCTGCTCTCTTCCTACTCGAGGTTAGCACAGCCTTAAAGTGCCCAGCAGCCTGATCCCTCATATCCATGGCTTTTGTCACTGAGGTAACCTGAGAGCATCAGACATAGAGTACTCTCACCCTTCAAGCAGGGATACACACAGAGTCCTTTTTTGTGTGTTTTAGTATTTGGGATGTACATCCAGTCAGTGAAATTCTTAATCAATAGAAATATAAGCACTTGAATATCATTACAGATTGGCATGGAAAAAAAAAAAGGATGAAAATATCACAGCCTTGGGGAGAACCAGAGAGAACAAAATAGAAAATAAACAATGGTGGAAGATAATTAGGGAGCACTTCATGTAAAAGTTTAAAGGGAAAAAGTCAATTTAAAATAATAGATACGAGGAGAATCCTGCAACAGATTCTGTGACGATGAAGAGAAAAAGAAGTAAAGGAGGAAAAGAGAGAAAGAGAGGGTGCAGTTTTGGATCATGTGAATATCATACCTCTTGCAGTCAGTGTCTTGTTCTCTCAGTAAAGTGAGGCGCTCTAATGGCACGGGGGAAAGAAAGGAAATTAAGGAAAGGCGAGGCAAAGATGGAGTGAGAACAGTAGCTTGATAAAAAATACATAAATTGAAGACAAAAGAAAAAAAGAAGCAGGCAAGCTGGAGACAAGACAAGCTCTGGTGAAAAAGAAACATTTCAAAAAGTGGAGGGGAGCACTGCTATGGCCGTACCCATCAGCCGCAAGCAGAGGCAACCACAGGCTTCATGGCAGATAAACATGGCCCATGGCATTAAAAAACAAGACTGACTTACTGGCACTCAGCTCACAACTTTGGGAAACGTACTGCCAGTGAGATTTCCAAACAACCTGTTCTGCCTCTGTTCGCGTGTTTACCTCTGATGGCTGAAAAAAACCTTTATTTTTTGCCAAGAGGATGATATTCTTTCTCTTGTGGTTTCCCCTGGTTGTGTAACTTCAATGATACGGATGGGTCCTCTCCCTCATTACCAATTTTCATCTTCAAACATTCAAATCTTAATGAGTAACTCCATTGTGTCATTTACAAAGCTTGCCCTGCACCAGCTCTGCTGCGAACTGTGCAGTTCAAGTAACTCATGGGTGGAAATACAGCGTATCACCCCTTTGGTGGGGCCGATCCCCACGAGCACGGAGGGCCTGCTACTTCGCGCAGCAATGATCCTGGGGGCATGTGGGTCCTCTCGGTTCAGACGGAGAGACTGGTGCGAGCCGTCTGCTGTGTTATTCCTGCCCGTCCTCCTCACCGACGCAGTCACTGTGGGTGCACGCGCTTGTCTGGAAGCCACAACTTTCCCCTCTCCCTTCTTCCGAGCTGTTAGCCGCCCCTTTCTGTGACTGCAGTACCTATCATCCAGACACTGAGCTGAACTTTCGATTATGAATTTCTGGGATCACAGATCAAAAAAAAAAAAAAAGGCATCTCAGGGGATATAAACGGGTTTTTAAACTTCATGAACTAAACGTAACATTTTTCTGCAGAAATTTCACATGAAATAGTTGTCTTTTTGATACTGTTGAAATATGCATTTTATGCATTTGTGCTGAATTCTGCAGAAGCACACGAGAATTGATGGTCTCCTCGGGATCAGATCCACTCTTTTTGCAGTAAGAGTCTTCCTAAAACAAGCTTAGCGTATCAAGTTTGCCATTTCCCCCCAAGTTGCTTCTTTCTGATACAGTTCTTACTGAGGAAGGGGGAAGATTGCTTTGCTCAAAATACAGAATAACGTTGCTGATCTTGTACTAATTGGTAAAAAGTAGTCTCACTACTACTGAGAGAGAGAAAAAGCTAAAAGACAGCTCAAGACTGTGAGATGGCTCACTATAAAAGTGTATGTTTTTATTCCCTTAAATTGCTGAGGAAGACTGGTAGATAAAAGAAGTCGAGGAGAATTGCCTTTAGTTGTCCTTAGACTCAAGGTGATCAGTTTCAGTCTAATCTAAAACCTGCATTTGGCAATTCAGGAGAATGGCTTTGCTACTTTCCCAAGCTTTAAAACTTAAGTTTTGAACAATTTGTGTAGTGGCCAGTTTTCCGTGAGCATCACGAAAGCACCCTTGCTAGAAAGGGGATCTCTCTTTTTTAAGAAACAGCTTGCTTTCTTTTGCCTTCAGTCCCCCCCCACCCCAGAAGGGGCTTTCTTTGGCCG